TGTTGTTGTTGTTGTTGTTGTTGTTGTTGTTGTTGTTGTTGTTGTTGTTGTTGTTGTTGTTGTTGTTGTTGTTGTTTGCCGCTACTTCTCGTCGTTCTTTGGATGTCTGTAAGATGACATTTGATATAACCAATAAATTATCCAATTTTCTTTAGAAATACCTCGAAAGTAATGTCTTGCCTGAAATGCCGCCATCCGTTCAGGTATGATGCGCACGTATACGCTTTATGCTCGCGGATAATTTTCTTAAATTTGATAAACTTTATAGAGTAAATTCTACGAAGCAATTCAGACGGAAAGATTACGATCAATGCCGAATAGCTTTTTACCTCCATCGACCAACACCAATGAAGGATTAATTATGTTGGGTGACGCGATGAACATGAGACATCCATTAACTGGAGGTACTTATTGGCTTTTCTTTTTGGTGTGATTATGTATATAGGAAGTATTAATCACGTCACCTAAGAGATCATTCTAGATCTGAAGTTGCAGAGGTTTTCACTGTGTATTAAAAAAGCTGGGCAAAGAACCAAATGCAGAATATACTCATATAGTTAATTCTATATCAATGGATTCATACATCCCCAGGCGGAATGACAGTTGGACTGAATGATGTCGTCACGTTGGTCAAATTACTTTCTCCTTCTGAAGTGTCTGATTTTGTCTACACTGGTCTAATACTTGAAAAGATGGAAGACTTTCATTGGAAGAGAAAGCAAACAAGTTCAGTAATCAATGTATTGGCGCAGGCTCTTTATGCATTGTTTGCTGCATCTGATGGTGAGTAACTAGACTGCTTGTCATGTTGGATGTTGAATATTGGATGTTGTGTTTATAGTAATAATGATTATTGAAATATTAGATCAGAATCTACGCGTATTGCAAGACGGTTGCTTTCATTATTTCTTCCTGGGTGGCAACTGTATTACTGGACCAATCAGTCTTTTATCCGGGTAAGCCATAATATTTCACTTGCAAAGTGGACGCAATATGTATATATATATATATATATTTCGAATACCCTATTAACATGTCTATCCCTGAAACAGGCTGTGTGGTAGTCCCTTGGTATTGACTTATCACTTCTTTGCGGTTGCAGTATATGGAATCTACTTATTCATTACAACTAGGCCTTTACTCGAGTTTCCTTTAAACATTGTCAGAGGGTTCATTATTTTACATACAGCTGCCGCGGTGATATTCCCTGTCCTACTTTCCGAAATTTATTTTTAAACTAATAAGATAGATCAAAACTAGAAGCGCTTGATATGAAATAACTTATAATGTTGCTCAAAGGACAACAGCATGTCCATGGAGATTCAAAATAAATGACACTTGCACTAATGATAATTTATAATTTATATGGTAAGTTGTATATTCCGCAATGCAATGTTAATAAACAATGAATATATATATATCTTGGATGAAGCTACAAACTTAGCTAGTAGCCCTGCCAACACCCATTCCTACTCGCACCTATCAAGGACGAAAATTTACAGACGTTAGAAACGAGTCCCAACAAATGTTTGAAGAAATCAGTTTATACGTACCAGAGTCTCCAAAGATTGTTCAGAATTTGCTAAAATATCAACGTCCCACTTCATTCTGCCTTTTTGGAAGAGAAGTACTACAGTACTACCGCCAAACGCAAAGTACCCATGCTCATCGAATCTCTTTACTTCGGAATGTGGTTTACTTTAAAGAAAAGAAAAACCATTAATTTCATTGTTATTCTAATTCCATTTGGCGTAAGGATTGTATCATGTAAAAAGAAAATACATCCGACTCTCTTACCTTGTAAGAACGATAGAACCGACCATCATTGCACCTATGGCTACAAATGCTACATTGCCAAACTGGCGAGAGTTGATGTATGAGATTGTTCGCTTATTCTCACCGTAAACATCAAGCCTGTTAAATGAAAATGCGTTAGATCTTGTCACTGAAAACCGATTCGATAACAGCACAAGCGCAAAAATAAACCTACTCTGATCGAATGGCCATAGGGTTTACGGTATAGTAAGCACCGGCAATAGGCTTGGGCTCACTCAAAGTCCCATCGACTGGAAAATGGAACCTGCGACAAAACAAGATACCCATCAACTCGAATTCAAAAAAAAAAAGCAATATTCCTATTACTCGACTTTGTTTTTTCTTGTACCTATGATAATCCTGAGGAGCTAATCTGAATATACCTAAACTCCCGCCCGCGAATGTTTGTGCAGCCGCAGCATCACCTAACAATGTCTCGAGCGAAAAATTGCGACCTTTGATCCAAAGTTTGGTTGCTTCATCAATTGTTGGAAATGCCATCATCCTACAATCTGCCGGACTGACCAACACCCGCGGATCATTAGGCGAATCAAACTTTCGTGCGCCCGGTTTCAACTTGCGATAGAAAAACTCGTTAAAGTTCTTGAACGAGTCTAATGGATCGAGGATCTCGTCGACACTGAGTTTGTGGAAATCGATAAATGGCTTAATGTCTCGGATGGATGCTGGGTCATCAAACTTTTTGCCTTGTTTGTAAGAAAGACTCTCAAGCAAACGACGTGCTGATATCAGCGAACAGAGTAGGGTAAGTTTGTGTACAAATAATGGAAAAGAAAAAGAAGAAAAAAAAAAGAGGCCGTTCTATACGTACTCGCATTTCCTTCGATCCCACTCGATGGTTTGACACCTTTATATAAGAGGCGAATGCCGAGTCTGATATATGTGGGCATTTTTTCTTCTACAAGTTCACCCGTCGTACGATCTTGCACTATGATATTGGCATTATTCTTTGAAAAAATAATTTTTTTTTGTTTTAGCAAAATAAAATACTAAAACTTTCAAACTCGACAAATAAATATTTACTTACAGCACCAATTTTGTATCCACCGTAACCGACTTTGGTTATGACTTTTGCTAACCACTTCCGCTGAGCCTGAGATTCTGTTACAAAGTCTCCGACCAAGAATTTGTCCACGTTCGCCCAATCCGTGCTGGCACATATGGCAATGTGAGTGATGATTTCGCTTTCCGGTAATTTTCCTAATTCCGGCTTCTTGCAGATCGGGCAATCTTTAATGTAAATTATATGTTCGTTATCTTGTTCTTCTCCGTTTTTATCAGCGGGTCTGTTCGTCTTCTTCTCGCTTTCCTTGAGATGGGCTTCTAGACTTGCAGCAAGTTCGTCGAATGTCAGTTCGTCGGTTCTGGGGTTCTTCCTACGACTGGTGAAAAACTTTTCAATTGTCGCCTGACTTAATGATGAGCCAATACTATTTAACATGGTTGTAAGCTCGACGTAATTAAGAACACCGTTCTCGTCTGAATCATACACTTTGGATAGCGCATGCCAAAACTGAATTCTGAGTAGAGCGTACGGCACGAAACGTGTTTTTATAAATAGCTTGGGGAAGACATCATACTTTTGTGAAGTTTTCAGTTCGAGATCAAGCGTAATTGGGATCATATCATCCTCCGCGTCCTTTGGTCTGGGAGTTGAAGATGATGCCATTTGAATTAAAGACTGAATTGGCACTGAAACGGTGGCTATCAGATCGTTATTAGTAAACTTGTCCCAGTCATAGACAGTAAACTTTACGGAATAGTTAGATTCCACATTCTTAACAGCAAAATATAATCGTTCTTTCCATAAAGGATTAAGCGAATTTGGAATTACACGAGTTCGGAAAGTTTGCTTGGAAAAAGACACCACCACGAAGGGATCCATATCAATCCCAGTACGAGAGGCTAATATTAAAAATAACGGCTTAAAGTTAGTGAATTGAGAAAGCAACTGTTTAAAGTAAAAAAAAAGAAAAAAAAGAAAAAAAGAGTCATTACCATTCTTTTCTGGCGGAAGATCTTGCGCACTAACGATTTCCAAGAAGGTTAACCCAAGCAAATCAACTGAACTTTTAAAATCCTCTTTAGTTCGACTACCCTGGACAGACTGATCGTAATCAGTGTGAGAAGCAGAGGGTGACCCTGAAACTTTCAGTTGACGAATTCGTTTCCAAATGTCTCGCCATTCCTTGACTTCTAGAAACTGGTTTTCCGGGTCAATGAGACCGACTTTGACTACCAAGTACCCCGTTACTAGTTCATTTGTTTTTGAAAAATTTTGAAGGGGAAGATTGATCGGCTACCAGCGATACGGAATGAGAATGGTTAATTTAATTGACATAAAAACAATGAAAATAGGCCCTAAAAAGAATCGTACCTTATTCAGTGGATCGCTATATCCGATATGGCCAGCTTCCCAATTATCATCAAGTTTAAAATGAGCTTCACCCATGTAATCCTTGCCAAACATATCTTTGTCCCAGCAAATAAAGTGGACTGTCGATGGTACGTTGTCTAGCTCAATCTTATGTTCAAACCAATCATCCCATTGTGGATTCAAAGACTTTGGAACAACGTGGGTTTGATGGACACTATCGCCAACGTCAACGACAACGTACTGTTAATGTCAAACAGAAGAACGTTGTCGGATTAATAGACACGTAAGACTAGCGCATATCAACTAAGGTAAAGGCCTATCGTTATATATATATTCAATGAATCGATAAGAGTTCTTCAATATATCGCTCAATCAATTCACCCTCAATTTGACAATATTGCTCCCAACCTCCACCTTCTCTTTTTTTCTTTCCCTCGGGTGGAAGTTGACGGATTTGCAGAATGGTGCATATAAAGAGAACAATTTGCCTAAATTCTATTCTTCATAGCATATTCACTTGTTCCATACGTACAGGGTCAGATAGACCGTTTCTATCTTTAGGTGCTAGATCCTTCCCGGAAATAATGTCGATACGCAGTCTAATTTCACCAGTCGTCATTGTGTAGTCACGTCCACACCAGAGATAAAGATGGCGAAGTTTATCCAAGATCATTTATCTTCTATTCTCAGCCTTAGCAAAAGTAACGGTAAATATTGCAAATCTAGAAATGATCTGCGACCTAGTATTTATTAGAATTGCCGTAATTGAGTATCAAGACACGACTTCTTGCCACCATAGTTTCTTTTGTAACATTTAGTCTTTTTTGCTTTATTAATATTAATATGCCTATGATCAGCGGGTAAGTTCCCATGACCTGGCAACAAATCAGCGGATATCTGGTTTATCCGCCAAGATCTGTCTAGCAAAGCTTTGAGATTTCGTGTGACATTAACCAATGTTCCACTAAACTATTCATGTTGGTTACGAAGCCCACTTGTGCAAACAAACTGAACAATATAACAACGAAAATAGGAATGTCGAAAAATTAACGCCAATACTTGCGGTAAGACAAATAAATCTGCAAGAAAATCATGCATAATCTTGTGTTACACCCTTGTAAATTTAAGTTCATATTTTAATTTCAAGCTATTGACAGTTTTGTTATAAAAAGGTTTACAATCTACGAGGATTGGCTTTGCAATTAGTTGCTTAAACACTGTTGCAACCAATGGGTCAAATTATTATTGTTATTATTATGTAACAAATGGTTTTAAATGTTCGAAATACCAACACGAACAAGAGCACCATATTAATATTAATAGCACTATCACTATCCTATTTCGACAGATGAAATCTTGGAAACAATTCACTTTTTTTGGCGTCGAACAAACTTTGGTCACTGCCGACAGTTTGTTAATGGTTGCAACTTTAGTATTTTAATAAAGCCACTCGTAACGCAAGACTCAAAGTCGGCGGCGGTTCTCGTTTAAACAACTTTTTGACATTCTTTTTTCACTCGTAACCATTTTTATAAAGCACCGCCGCGTTTTTGGACGGCTGTCCGCGTTTTCTTGCTATGATGTAATTCAATATTTCGTTTAAGAATGATATCTAACTACATAACCCACAAAGTGAATCTAATAGTGAACAGTTAAATAGTTACTTTGATGAAGAAAAAGGTAGCATATTCTCTTTTCAAATTTGGTTCAAAATTCAGATTCGAATCTTTTTTTACAGCATTTTCCAATATGTTCTTTGTGGCATTTTATTCGGTTGGTTATCTCTATTATGATTATGGAAATCCCCGAAACTTTATACACACAAGATCTCTCGATTGTGTGAAAAATTACAAACACTAAGTCTCTACAAACTACTGCGATTATTCATATGCACTCGATTTCCGTGGCACTTTTGCTTACTCTCTTGGTAAGTCTTTAGCGCCAGTAGTTAGAGAAAAGGTTCTGATTATACAGTCAACCCCGTTAATCCAAACCCCGTTTAACAGAACGACTAAGTAAAACCTCGCTAAACCAAAGGTAAGTTTTAAAACATCTATATTAAATTTACCCCGATAAACTAAATTTACTAATTGAACCTTGTTAAACCGAATTTCTTAGCATGTTCCCAGTTTAACCGGTTCACTATGTACTGCACAGGGGTGTGGTTGATCACAATTCGTACTTCTACTCAATAATAAATATAAAATACGTATATTTTAAATCTATCTAAAAGAAAACATCTATATTTAATTTACAAGAACAACATGGCCAGGAATATTAGTGAAGACTTACGCTGGAGAATAGTTTATCTCCATTGCAACATTTGTCTCATAGACGGATTTGCCGTAATTATTATTATATATCATCCGAGCCACTCTATCCAGAGTTCTGAGACTATTCAAACGTTGGGGAAGTGTCGAAAATTCCTTTGTACTGTCTTAAGATTAACTATTTATTGTCGTTGGTTGTTGTGAAAGTTGATTGATATCTTGATGAATTATTACTTGAGACGGAGGTAGAACTGGGAAGAAAGTCTCTATACCGACTTTATGGCGATCTCTTTCTAGTTACATAAGGTGGCGGTGAAAAGAAATGAGTTGCTTCGCAGTTCTTTTATTGCTAAATTGGAGACAACTCGAGTAGTGGTTATAAGCTTTCCTGCTGACTTATCGTTTAAACTTCCATATCCAAGATCATCAGCAGACGTCGGTAAGCTTTCCCGCCGACTTATCAATTGCACCCAAATGTTATGGGATGAAGGTTCTCATCATCACCTCATTATGGACACCGATTATGCGATCGTAATTATATTAGCCGTTATGCATGTGTCCAGCGACAAAAAGTGCTAGTGTCAGTATTGCATAGTATATTTAAACTTACGTGGCGTCGGCTTTCATCCCGTCCCTTCACATCCTAGGAATCAAAAAACATACCCGTATTCGTTAGAAAATAAGCAACACCTGAAAGTAAGCAACACTTCAGAATAAATAATTTAACTTTATAATAATAAATGTATTCAATTGATTATTTTATTATTGATTATTTTATTATTACAATAATAATAAAGAAAATTGTTAATCCGTGATATGAGTTTCACCAATGATGTCAATGTTATCATCCTCGCCAAATGACGAAGTTAGTGGTATAGATGAAAGAATAGGTTTAAAGACTGTTTTATATTACAAAAATTATAGAATTTACGCCCAATTAAAACCAAAACTTTTCTCTACCAGGAAGACAGAAAATTATGGGACAAAATTATTGCCCATTGCCCGACGAGCCACTTTCTCCTTGTCTGGGCAGAATCTTCACCATAAAAAAGTTGTCTCCCTGCCACTCTGTTTGCGTAAATGCAGATAAACTACCCGAAAATAAACTTTGTTTAGATGAGGTTCATATTATTGACACAAGTCAGATTTCAAACCGACTTGTGAAATAAATGGTGACGTCAACGCGAAAAGTAATAAGCAATACGTCACATATAATGTTTGTGGAGTCTATTTCTAATGCATATTCATATCCAAGATCCTCAGACGGATAGGGCGCGGACTAGGATAGAATGGGGAGGACAGTGTTTATTAAAATATACATATGCTATTATAGAAGGAGTAGTAGAAGGTGATTTTGGTGATGGTAGTATCTTGTATGAGGGGGGGTTTTCGCTTTTCGGTTTGATCCATTATTATGATTATCTTCGAGAAATAAAAATATAGGAGAGGAGAGTTGCTCTCCTTGCTGATTTATCGTTTAAACGTCCATATCCAAAACTTAGGGGTTGTCTGAACAGACTATAAACTCCCCCCGATTACTCTTAACAACTATTTTCTTACATTTATATAAGGCAGCGTCGCGCCAGATACGGTCCAGAAGGTTATGTGTGCAGCGACTGGTGGTACACCATAGCACTGTATTGTCCGACCGCTCACTCCAGGGACTTTCGTACGCGTTCGCAAATTGAACTCGAATGGACGACGTACTGCCAAGAGTTGAGCGCTGTAATATGGAGTAGCGGTAAAGAAATGGTTTGTTATATTAACACTCCGGAGATAACATGTTTCGATACTGATGTTATCCTTGACATAGATGATGTGTGTGTCCTTAATGATGCATAGACATTGACTTCATAATATTCGAATAAATCGATAATTCTTTCTTGAGAGGAGTCAAGTCGATTAATTCATTGCAGTGTCTACAGGTTGTCCATTGCGTACCGCCCGTAAATATTGAAGAACTTCTAAACCGAGTTTCTTCCTTGCTGTGCTGCGGACATGTACAGTGCCCTCCAATAAATGAGTGAGTAACACAAAATTTTGCAAATTATACATCAAGTTCGCGCGCATGTAA